CGGGAAGAGTCTAGCTGCGGATGGGCTAGAGAGAGATGCTCTCAACTTCCCTCAGGCGCTATCCTTCAAGTTCATTTAATTAGGTTTAGTTTTCCTTGTCATGTTGGCACGAGAACGCCATTTCTTTCGAAAGATACCCAAGTCTCATCTTATTGTGCAAACACTTACGGTTTTTGACCGGGCTTCCATTCTCCCTTTCGCAAGGTAGGAGGTCTAGCTATTACGAAGTATTATTTAATTTTTTCATTTTTTTCAGATTTTCACTAGACATTACCTCATTCTAATCTCGGCCTCACCAAGGAAAATTAGCAATTAAAGTTCAATTAATCACAGTGAATCCATGCCTACAATGCAATCCTCGAAAATATCAAATTCCTAAAAAGTAACTGCTCTTACCCCATTTGGGGCATAGGAGCAGTGCCAACAGTGGTGATGGATAGTGTACCCGAGGGTAGCTTATCCGAGGGGTTATTTCAGGGAATAACTAGAGAGAAGTCAGAGCAATAAGTAGAGAGAGGATATGTATTCAGTATGTGAATTTGTGATGATTTACAATTGAAAATGGGTTGCTATTTATAGCAGCAATAAATGCTAGATAGGGACACCTGTCAATAATCTGGTGGTCGAGTGGTCACCTCAATCAGGGTGGCACCGGCATTTACATGTGACCACATTAAATGCGGTGGTTGAATGCGATGTTGTACTTGGTACGGTGATTCAGACGCATGTGGAGAGGATATTCTGTCGAGGGAAGTGCCTTCGGCTGAAGGATGTTGGGCCGAAGGCACTTCTAACCGGGGGCCTCCCAATACCGAGGGCTGTATATTGTTCTCCTGTGATGTTTCTGAGCTCAACCCTGTCAACGGTGGCCTTCAGTCATGGTGCTGAAGGCACCCCCTTGCGTATTGTGGGCTGCTTGGAGCTCCATTTGCTGGGCTTGGCCCATTTGGGTCTGATTGCAGTTGTGGAAGTATGCGGGCCGGGGGTCCTTGGGCCATATACTCCATCAGGAGTCCCTCACTCCTTTTTCCGAAAGGTACTTGAGGGAAAAGGAGTAATTGTGTTTTGTCTTCTGATGCTAGTGTTTGTTTGTAGTTTGTAAATTTGTAGGAGGTATGCATCTGCGTGTTTTGCCGGAGGCAGTCCCTCACTCCCGAAGGGTCATGTTAATGAGCTTTAACCTTTTGTGGTTTTCCTGAGGGGGTTATCCAGTCCCCCACTCCTTGAGGCACATGTAATGTGGTGAAAATGAGTAGAGTGGTGCCTGTTTTCAGCATAGGGTCGAGGGCTGACGCTTTTCGTTTCATTTTGGGAGGATGTCTCGTTAAAAAACTCATTAGGAAAAACCCTGTGGGAAAAAATCCCAATGAGGGAAAAAGAGTGCAGCGAGTTCCCCCAATGATGAATCGAAAAGGTGGCCCTTCGATCTGAGGGCTTCTTTGCTGATTAGCTGAAGGCTACTTGTGATGACCCGAGGGGATAATTGCCGGGAACATTCCCCTGAAGATTTCCGTAGTTTAGGAGCATGGGTGCATGTTCCGGGGATGCAGAGGTGATGAATGCCAGTGATTGTCCTTGTGTTGCCGAGGGGGGTTCTCTGGTTGTCAATATGTTGAGGGCAAAGGGTTCCCGAGGGGTTCCCTGATCTTACACTGGGGACTAAGGGTTCCCGAGGGGTTCCCTGATTTTACACTGGGGGCCAAGGGTTCCCGAGGGGTTCCCTGATTTCACACTGGGGACAAGGGTTCCCGAGGGGTTCCCTGATTTTGCACCCAGGGCTGACTATGCTTGTTGTTTTGCCCGAAGGGTGCCAGCTGAAGACATTGTTGCGGGGTGACCGTTTGAAGTATAGCCGTTGGGATATAGCCGTTGGATATATGACCATTGGAACATGACCGTTGTAGGTGGAGTCCACATGGCGTGTTCCTATTGGCTGTCCTGGGCGGGTGTCACCGGTTGATTGAGGCGGCGGTCTGTAATGATGGTTTTTGCCATCAGGGGTCCAGTTTTTGGCCCAATCCCGGAGTGGGGAGGCTATAAATACCCCATGGCCTTACTCCACTTGCCTTTATGCGTTCTTCTTGTAGCGAAGCTCTGGCGAAAATTTTCTAGAGAGAGAAACTTCCTTTCGATCAAACCCCAACTCTCGAGGTTAGTTCTTGCTCCATTCTTTGCTTCCTTAGCATACTTTGCTTTTTGGCCTCAGATTTAAGTGTTAGAGTTCTTAGAACCCTTTAAGAATCTTCCTCCTTCGAAACCCTTTGGCCTCCAGTATTTAGAAATGTCTTCACAAAGCGACTCCCAAGATATTTCGAGGGAACCTTCGGTTGAGGCGGAAAGCATCTCCGACGTGGAGTCTACGAGTGAGCAGCCCTCAGATGGAAATGATTTGGAGGTTGCCGTCGAGATCCAGAACCAGCTCACAGCTGAGGCCGAAGTCGAGGAGTTTGAGCAAGTGGTAGATGATGAGGAGATAGCTATTGTTGTGTAAACCGCCGAGCAGGAGGAAGAATAGGAATGATGTCGGGTGACGATCGCCATCCCTTCGGCTGTAGCAAGTGGAACCGGGACTTCAAGACCCCTCAGCCCCGATCCCCTCCGCGTTGCGCCCTCGGCGAGGGGTAATGGGAAGATGAAGGTCCCTAAGAAGAAGGGGAGCGTTGAAGATGTGGGGAAACCCGTCGATCTGTCGAAGGCGTATTCGTTTTTTAACACCGCCGCTCTCGAGCTGAGGTCGAGGGCTGATCGGACGGAGTGCTACGTCACCCAACTCCACGTCGGGCCCTCAGGGACAGTGATAGAACCGGGCCCTGATGATACTCTGTCCTGGGCTCCCGAGGGGTGCATTGTGGTTCATATCCTCTCAGACTCAATGGGCCTCCGGTTTCCATTGCACCCCTTCCTCCTTGAATACCTTAGGTTTGTTGGCTTAGCCCCTTGCCAACTCACCCCCAACAGCCACTCGTATATCACCGGCTTCCTGCACCTTTGCTGGTCCCGGGGGGTGGATCCCAACCTTGATTTGTTCTTCCAGAGCTTCAATCTCTGCCGGGAAGGTCACGTTAATTCCGAGGGCTTTGCGAACCTCCAGCAGATTGCCTAGTGGAGACTCTTTGATGACGTGCCCTCATCCCATAAGGGTTAGAGGGATCGTTTCTATTATGTCAAGATGGCAGACAATCCGTTCCCGATGGCACTGCGGGACCGTTTTAGGCGGCACGAAAAGGTGGGGAATGCCGCCCTCGAGAAGGATGGTAAGAAGCTCACCAAGAGGTGATTCCCGTAGGCTTAAGTTTTTGTACTTAGGAAATCTTTGCAGTGTAATTTCGATTCTTGTCTTGACCCCTCGGCCTAATTTTTTGTGTTGTGTTGCAGGTGCTAGCATGGATGTCCGCAATTTTGCCGGAATGAAGAAGAAGGCGGCCAAAGAGCCAAAGAAGAAGGAGACGGGCATTCAAAAGCCCGTTGATGAATTCTTTTTGAAGGGCAGTGAACCCTCGACTGTCCCCGTTGATGCTACTGCTGCTGCCGCGAAGAGGAAGGCGGCAGGCAAGGATGTTAACCCCGTCGGAAAGAAACCGAAGAAGGGGGATGCCGGGAAGAAGGCTCCCCCGATCCTAATCGTGGATGAGCACTCGACTTCTGAGCCTCTGGCTATAGCAGCGACGACTCCATCCAACCCCGCTTCAGGAGACTTCCCTTGGGAGATCGTACAATTCTCCCTTATCAGAGGAACCGCCATGATGCACGACACAGTTGATCCGAAGGCGTTCCTGAGGGGCATCACTTCGGAGATGGATAGGGCAACCCTTAGCACCTATGATGATGATGCCCTCGAGAACAAGATCCTCCGGTCTTCTCTTACTATAGGTCCCTTTCCCTTTGTTCCTTTTCCTTTTGTCTTAGAGCATTCTTGCATAGTGTCCTTACCCCTTTTGTTTGTCGTTTGTAGGCTTGCATCGCCCTCGATGAACAAGCCCGGAGGGGGAAAGAGTTGCGTCTTGAGAAGGCACAGCAAGATGAGCAGTTGAAGAAGCTTATCCACGACAACGCTGACGCCGTGAGGCAGATGGTGGAGCTGGAGGAGGACCTTCGGCAGGCGAGGGCTGAGTCGAAGAGAGCTAGGGCGGAGGGCCAGAACGAGGGCAAGGCTGAGGCTTAAAAGACCGTTGTTGAGTCTGCCAAGAAAGCCGCCAAGGATGCTGAGGCCGCCAAAGCGGAGGTTGTTGCTAAAGCCCGGGAGGAAACTGATGCTGCCTTTATCGCTGAGGGCTGGTGTAACACCGCCCCCAAGTATTTGTACTTTATCAAATTATGTATTGAACCTTGAGAAATAAATAAGAGCATTTTTACGTGATTGCAAATTTTTATCATTTCTTTTACGTGAATAGTAAAATTCACGTGGGGCCCACACCGGAAGTGGGGGCCGTCCGATACTTTCGGGACCACATATTATATTAATGTTGGCCTAGATAAAATGTATATGGTGGTGGATATCCTAATTGGGCCATGGCAATGGCATAGGGTTGACCGGTTGGTCAAATGGGGCCCAATTATTAGTATCGGCAAATTATTAGATAACAGCCCGAAAAGGGATTTCGGAGACTTGTAACATAAAGTTGAGGAATAAATATTCCCTCTAAGGTCCAATAAGGATTGGGAACAAGTGTTATATTTTATTTGACCCGATTAAATAAAATATAATTAAAACAGTCCGGAAAATACAACTTTCGGGACCAAGTGTAGACTCGGGGACATAAAGGGATGACCTCCCATATGAGTGGGGCCACCCCACGAATTTGGGTCTGCAAATGTCAATGGGATCCGCACAAGAACATGGAGAAACAAGGAGGAACTGATTGGGAGACCAATCAATAGGAGGGTGGGACCTTTGCCATAATATTTTGGTGAGGAATGCCAAAAAGGCATTCTCAATCACACCAACTCACCCCATTCGTATCAAGCATCAACCAAGTGAGAGAAGCTCTGCAGATAATCCATTTTCATCCACCATTTTCGCACAAATCAAGGGGAGGAAGAAGGAAGGGAAAAGAGAAGAGAAAAGGGGAGGATAGGGAGGAAAACTTGAGATTTACAAGGTAATGACTCCATTAATCCCATTTCTTGTTCCTCAATCATATTATATGATTATACAATCATACTTCACACCCTAGTATTGTTCTACACGTTTGGAAGTGTAGAATGAGGGGTTGGAAGGTAGTTCTAAGTCCAAGAACGGACTTAGAAGCCAAAGTGACCGATTCGCCGGAAAATAACCTTTTAGTGGTTATTTGTATTAATATAGGTTTAATGATGATAAACCCTTGTTATTAACTCGTATAAGGTATTTCAAGAACTTTCACGGAGTTGAAAGGGGAGCCGGAGTTGTCGCCGGAGTTCGTTGAAGTTCGCCGGAGTTTCGCCGGAGCTCAATAAGGAAGGCTAGAACTTCATAAGCTTCATTTAAGGTGAGAAGACGGCTTTATGCTTTATAACTTTTGCGTGAGGCATGAGATTACCTAAATTAATCAAGAATATGTTTTATGGATTGATTAATGGTATTAAAGTATGTGTTATGCTATGTTAAAGAATATAACATAGCTAGAAAGCATGATTTATAGGTTTGCTTGGTAAAATTACCATAAATTGATATGTATGATGTTACAAGGACCCAAACAGGTATTTTTGGATTAAGGACATCAAAGAGTACTTGCATTAAAAATTTCACGTTAATCAGACTCCGTTTAGGCGGTCAAACGGGTGTTGACTGCCAAGTCAACTGCTATACCTGACCGGGTATTAGCAAATACCTGACCGAGTATTTGCTGAAAATTTGCCCCAGGGGCTACTGTCTTCTATACCCGATCGAGTATGGGTAGGTACTCGATCGAGTATACACCAAAAATTAGCCTTACGGGCTACTGTCTCTTGTACTCGACCGAGTATAGGTGGGTACTCGATCGAGTATTGGGTTATGCTCAAAACGGGCAGTTTTGAGTGGGTTAATGTGGGCCGTTCAGGTGGCACCCGCCCACGTTGGTTCCTAAGGATGGTTATATGACTATAGGTCTAGGTATTGTCCATAGTTAAAGGAATGAAAGGTTAGCCATATCTAGGTTAGGGTTTGGTTAGGAATAAGTTTGGGGTTGAGTATCCCCGGGACGGTAAATGATCCTGAAACTTGGTTGGGGTTGAGCATCTACGGGACTATAAATGATCCTGAAACTCGGTTGGGGTTGAGTATCCCCGGGACTGTAAATGATCCTGAAACTCGGTTGGGGTTGAGTATCCCCGGGACTGTAAATGATCCTGAAACTCGGTTGGGGTTGAGTATCCCCGGGACTGTAAATGATCCTGAAACTCGGTTGGGGTTAAGTATCCCCGGGACGGTAAATGATCCTGAAACTCGGTTGGGGTTGAGTATCCTCGGGATGATAAATGCTCCCAAAACTCGGTAGGATATTATGAATGTAGAATGTAGCTTGTGAGCTAGGCATCCGGGAAAAGAGTGAGAAAAGTCAGGTAAGAACTTTATCTCTAAAAGACTCTTTAAATGAAATGACATACGGGTTGAGTATTTTACAAATATATATATAGTATGAATCATCGGGTGGATGAGTCATATATATATATATATATATATATATATATATATATATATGTGTGTGTGTGTGTGTGTGTGTGTGTAACCCTATTTTTGGGTCTCATGTCTGAAACATTAGTTATTCTTCATATAGCCTGCTTGTCAATAGTACTTCTATGGAGTACTGACCCCTCCGGGGCCCCTCACATTTTTCAGGTTAAGGCTAGAGTCCTACTACATGCACCTTTGCCTAGGGTGATTGATCAAGAATCATGACGTGGTTCGTGCTTCCATTCTTATTTCAAATTTATAAACTGCTCATGAATTTTCGAACAATGTTTTCTTTAAAACAGTTGGGGGCCTGCGTGCCCGTGTTTGCCACGTGTGGCTAAGTATCAAACATATTATTATTTCCGCATTTGTTTGATTATGATATTGATGTTGATTGTATGTGTTTACTAATCGGTTTGGCAATGGAATCAATCGGACGCCTTGTACAATTCAATAGGGATGAACTGTTGTTGTTCTTATCGGGTTGTACAACGGTTGTCTACATGGCCCGGATGCGGTCTGGGGCGTGACAATTAAGTGGTATCAGAGCCATCGATTTCTAAACTATATAATTAACCTCTCAATATCTTACCATCGAAAAGTTTTGAACAAAACCATGAGCAGAAAGTTTTTGTACCTAAGGAACCGTTGGAAACCAAGTTATTGACCTCTTATTGTTAAGACGGTACCCTTAACAGTTTGTTGGTCATAATGTTGGACCAAGTGGTGTCTTTTGTACTAATCCGTCAATTGACATTGAAACGAGTCTAATGACTCATTCCTTATTTCTTTCAGAAATGGAGGGTGGACGCAGGATTACTAGGAGGAACCCGACGGGTCGTGCACCGAGGGCCACTGGGCACGATACATGGGCTGAATCACGGACCTCTAGGGGTAGAGGTCGGGGCCAAGGCCGAGGAGGAGGCCGAGGCAGGGGTCGTGGGTGTTCTACAACGCCGATGGTAAGTAGCACGCGTGTCGGTTCTGTGCACCCATCTTGGGCCACCGAATCGGACGATTTCACATATGCTCCAAGCACGGAGCAAGAGGAGACCCCGTACAACGGGGAGGACTTTGATGAAGAAGATGAGGATGACGATCCTCATTATGATCGTATGAGCGAGGTACTAGAATGGTACCTCGAGAATAAGGCAAAGAGAGAACAGCGGCGCCAACTAGACAGGCTAGGCTAGCCATGGGGCAGGGAATCCGAGGTGCTTCTAGTGCTCCATCTAAAGCGTCCAGGGGAGACACGATGGTACGTATCTCCAAGTACCTCAAGGAGGCGAGGGCCTTGGGGTGGAAGTCATTTGATGGCAAGGGCGACATATCTGAGGCCGCCGACTGGATTAAGAAGCTGAATGATGCTTCTAGGGACATGCAATTTGGACTCGACGTGAAGCTGAGGGTTGCCACCAGGCTACTAGAAGGGGTAGTGATATTCATGTAATTTCCAATTGTATGTTTGTATTTTTAACTAGTTTTTATTATTTCTAGTTGAGGAAATTACACACTTTTGGCGTAATACTTTATTTTCATATTTATTTGTAATTTGTTTAGATTAGGACTTTTCTGAGCTAAACAGGTCAAAGATCATCCAAGGGATCAATATTAGACCTTAAAAGATCAAGGAAAGTGCAAGGAGGCAAGAAAGATTTCGATTAGGAAAAAATACTCATGTACCCGGTCAGGTATTGCCTATACCCGATCAGGTATTTGCTTGTGTTGGTCCCGGTTGTACTGGATACAGTCTAGAGGGGGGGTGAATAGACTGTATTGGTTTTTAACTTTTTCAAGCTAAGTACCAGATTTAACAGAATAGCCTGTTTTGTTGGCAGAACAGACTGGCAGCGGATGGGGTTCTGGTAAGGAGTTCTGTTAGTATAGCCTCAGAGAAGCAAAGGCAGTAGGCCTTCTGTTAACTCACAGGACAAGTTCTGCTGAACACAGATACCAAGTCTTTGGAGTTAAGCAGTTCAAATAAAAGCGATAAATAAAATGCAGTAAGTAAATGACACCAGGGCTTTTTATAGTGGTTCAAGGAACAACTTGTTCCTCTAGTCCACTGTTCCACTAAGCTTGTAAAAACGACCGTTTACAACGCCTTAGCCCTATCACTTAAGAAGCTCTCCACGTCTTCTTCAAGTGTAGATGTCTTCTTGGATGCACTTCTGGCTTCCCTAAGACTGGTCCTTTCACTGAGCTTTCCCGGAAGTATCACCACTTCACTGCTCCAGGTACTTGGACGTCCTTCTTGTGAAAGAAGAGGTTCTGTTGAGAACATGGGTTCCTCCAACTTGCTTCGTTACAAAAGATTTGTATATGAAGTGTTTGAAGAGTTGAAGAACGATGAGAACTTTGCTTGAGTTGGAAGTAAGGATCTTTCCAACGTCTGCCTTCTCTTGTAGAAGATAAAGAAGATTTAATCTCAAGGAGGCTTTTGCGTTGTTAGCGTTTGAATATCTTGTATGCGCACTGTGGTAGAAAAGTTATCCGGTTGTTCTTCTTAGTGTATCTTTTATACTAAGGTTGTCTTCCCGTTGGAGGAGAAGGAGGACAACTGCATTAAATGAGCGAGCAGTTGACTTGACCAGTAGGACCCGGCAAAGTTGGCGGGTTACTATTTTGGGATAAAGTTATCCTGACATTGTGGCCAATCATCTGCAATTACTCTACAGAGTACGGGAGGCATTAAATGTGCATTTAATGCGCGTACTGTAGCTTTTCCGTTCAAGACTCCTAGCCGTTGAAGGAATCTTTCAGTTGGGTTACCGGTTTGGTGAAATTCTTCTAAGTGTCAGGCCTTCTGGTGTCTTTAGCAGTGAGTTGATCAGAGAAGGTCTTGAGCACTTCTGTTGAATAAATATCCAACAGAGAACCAGGAGGGTTTCTATCAGAGTAAAGGCTAACAGAGACCCTGAGGTCTTCAGTTCTGAAGCAGAGAGCCAAAGGTCTTCTGTTCAACCAAAGCCTTATCAAGGGTCCTCTGTCAGGGGGTCTTCTGTTCTGGAGGCCTTCTGCTCTAGAGGCCTTCTACCAGTCGATTATACTAAAGAACTTTTACAAAGGAAAATTCTAATACATTAAGTCTAAAGAGGGGTACTCTAAAGTCCTAATTAATATAGCATCATCAAAATCTAATTACAAATATTCCTTACAATTTCCCCCTTTTTGATGATGCCAAAACCCTTTAACTATTTCCAGAGAAGTGCCTTCACCATAAAGAATTAAAGTTTTAAAACTTTCATTAAAATCTTGGTGGGCAATTTGGCATAGGAAAATAGTAAGAGTACAGTACATTCAGATAGCAGATAATAAATCAAAGAGCAATCAAACATAACCAAAAGAAAAAGACAGGAATTGAGGAATAGCCTTACAAAGTGAAAGGCAGAGATGTGATTTTATTAGATACAGTTTACAGAAAAGATTCCTTACACATTCTTCATAGTAGCTGCTTGCAGAGTTTCATCCTCCAGCCTTTGAAGCCTTAGTAGTTCTTCATTGATTTCTGCTCTGATCTGAGATAGGTTACCAGAGCTTTGATAGGATGCCCAGATAGGAGATAGCTTGCAATCCAAGTAGCTAAGAACTCCTTCATGAATTGTCTTGCCAGGGACAACGTTCTTCTGGTACCAATCTTCTGCTTCTTCTAGGGATCCCCCATGTCTGACTCGTACAAAACCATCCTTATCTAAGAAGAGGTTCTGTTGCTGTGTGAGAGTCATTTTCATTTTCATCTCTTCAAATTGAACTCTATCAATTTTCTGGGATCCATCGAATCTCCAATCAGTAAAACTAAGGATCTTTTTCTTCTTGGTGCCCTTCTTAACTGGAGATGGGGGTCTGGGTATACCAGCTGCTCTCTTTTTCTGTATGGCAGCTTCAAAGTAGGGTGCCGGATCAACAGTTGGTTCAGCAGAGGAGGATGCTCTTGCAGAGGCTCTGGTGGACCGAGGCTTAGTCTGTTGAGGGTCCTCTTCCCCCTTTTTGGCATCATGGAGGTCCTCTAGCATGAGGCTGATCTTCTGGAATTCTGAGGCCTGTGAGGTAGCTATCTGCTCAAGGCCTCTGGTAGAGTTTGAGTGACAGAAGTGAGACCTTCTATCAGCCCTTGCTGCTTCTGGATAGCAGAAAAGATATCCTTGTTGTTGGCTTCCAGCAGGACCATCTTCTGGTATCTGTCTCTGTCAGCAGAGAGGAGATGTTGAGCTTGATCTTGGTGGACTTTGCACATTTCTTCTATGGATAGCAATTGCTTCTTAGTCCTGTGGTTAGATCGTTGCAGCGTCTCAAGGTTCTCAGATATGGTGTTGATGGCCTTTCCTTGATCCAGCAAGGTTTGATGAAAGATAGAGAGAGTCTTGTGAATACTGTCCACTTCTGTTCACAGTGCATCTGTTCTGGCAGAGGATGAGGCCATGAAATTATGGAGGGATTCTGTGAGATTGTCGAAGCGGTCTGAGATGAACTGCATCCCAGAGTTGAGGTTATCATTCACATGAGAAAGGTGCTCGAAGGGCTTGTCATTGATCTGTATCAGCTTGTTCATTCCTTCCAGGACTTGACCACCAAACTCTTCTGCAGTTTCAACAAACCTGTAGATAGTTTGCTCGTGTTTCCTTTAGACTGTTCCCATTACAAACGGGACCAACACTGGGCCTATCGGAAGGCAACAGAATACACCATTAGCTCCCCCCTCGGGTTAACCTTCCGAGTTCCGAGGGGATCGAGGGTCGTTTCCTGGGCACAAGACATGGTCTGTAGCCTGCCTCCCCTTGGGAGATGGCACGGAAAGCGCCTCAGTTTTGAAAGTCGTCCCCTCGGTGCCAGACATAGTCCGTGGCCTGCCGCACCCTTGGGGTAGTGGCGCGGGGAGCGTTTTGGTTTGGAAGTCGAATCCTGGGCATATTAGATGCCTCCCAATCCCGGGGGGTAATGGCGCGGAAAGCGTTCCATTTTTGAAAGTCGAATCATGGGCGTATTACTTGCCTGTCATACTCTTGGGGTAGTGACGCGGAAAGCGTTTCAGGGAAGGGTTTTCATTTGCACACTAGTTGCAAATGGTCGGGGGCACTGCGTGCTACCGGCACCGATAGGTGGCGCCTTCGGTATATGCGTCCTCGAGGGGTACGGCTTTAGAAACGACACTTAGTACCGAGGGGTCTTCTTTGAAAACACTGGGTGTTTGTTGAAGGTTGATAGGAGTGCGTACACTCGGCACCTGGTGCCGAAGGGACTTCCAAGGAAACACTTGGTGTTTTCTCTTTTGTTTGTTGCAAATGATAGGAGAGTCTACCCCCGGCACTTGGTGCCGAAGGGTCTTCTTTGAGGGGAAAACACTTGGTGTTTTTCCTCCTTCGTTGCAGGTAGTAGATGATATGTTCCCTCGGCACTTGGTGCCGAAGGGTCCTGTTACGAAAAGGCCTTGGGCCGGGAGCTCGTATGAGGGTTTGACCGCTCATGATAGTCTCGTCTTCGGTTTTTGTGTCTTCAATATATCTTCATTCTTCAAAATCGGAGGCCTTGGGCCGTAGGGTAATATATTCACTAGTTATGAGGGCTTGGCCTCTCTATTACTGATAAAATTTGATGATGGCCGCCACAATGTAGGGGCCTTCGAACTTTGGTGCCATCTTGCCGCCCTCGGTTGGTTGGCTAGCTTCCCTTCTTCGAAGGACATAGTCCCCCACTTGGAATTCCCGGGAGCGGACTTTGGCGTCAATGTAACTCTTCACTTGCCTTCGGTAGTTTTCCGCGCGTATGAAGGCTTGCTCTCGGCGTTCTGAAATAAGGTAAGGTCGAGGGCCATATTGGCGTTGTTGACCTCGGGATCATATTGTGTGACCCTTCGGGTTGGAAGAGTTACCTCAGTGGGGGCCTTAGCTCCAAATCCGGAGCAAAGGGAGAAGGGCGTCTCGCCTGTTGCTCGCCGAGGGGTGGTGCGGTGGACCCATAAGATGTTGTGGAGCTCTTCTACCAAACCACCCCCTTCGGCCTCCAGCTTCTTCTTTAGGCCCTCGAGCAAGGTCCGGTTGACGTTTTCCACTTGACCGTTGCCTTGGGGGTAGGCAACGGATGAGAAGGTGTGTTTGATGCCGCATGCCTCTAGGAGGGCACAGAAGGGGGCTGCCTCAAACTGAGTCCCGTTGTCGGAGATGATTTGTTGGGGGATGCCAAACCTTGTGAGGATGTTCTTGAGAACAAAATGACGACACTTGGCCTCGGTGATGCTGGCGAGGGGCTCAGCTTCCACCCATTTGGTGAAATAGTCGATGGCGACGATGATGTACCTGTTGTTGGAGGTACCCCTCGGCAGAGGAACCACAAGGTCTACGCCCCATCGAGCGAAGGGTATAGATGTGCTGATGGGGGCATAGTTGACTGTTGGCCTGCCGGGGGCTTTCTGGAAGTGTTGGCACGCGGTACACCTTCGGGCGAGATCCGCACAATCCCGGGCCATTGTAGGCCAAAAGTAGCCCTGGATTATGAGCCTTCGAGGCATGGAGAAGGGTCCGTGGTGAGCTGAACAAGTGCCACTGTGCACTTCCTCCATCGCAACCTCGGCTTCAACTTGATGAAGGCACCGAAGAAGCGTCCCGTGGT